TGGCGTAAAACTGTAGGTCCCTCCGCTTTGTGTGACAACATCAAGGCGCACGCCGCAAATCAGAGGAGAAGCTCGGCCAAACACTAACATATGTGTAAGCGCCAATCTATTATTATTATTATTATATGCTAATCTAGGCAAAAGGCTATCAACTGGTTCGTTGCATTTTTTTTAGCGTAGCTCGACCCCTGCGCCACCTATCGGAAAAATTAAAATTTTGAGCACTCCTTGTTCTAAACATCTTTCCAAAAAAAGCAGGTCCCATTCGAGTCGGTTATGAAACATAGGAAAAAATTAGTCCCAATTGATTCAAGCTCCCAACGAATTTCACAATTATCCGAAATTTTCCAAGCTTTCGTCGAAAAAAAATCAAATTTTTCGCGTTCTTCCGCAGTTTTCCGAGTTTTCAACTTAGAATTTTCTCTTTTTCCATTCGAATGCCATTCCGAAGGAATTGCACACAAAATTCCATATAAAAAAATCAATATTCCGATTTTTCCAATTTTCCGAATTTTCGTTATTGCAGAGGACCATCGATATGCGAATCCATATATTTCGATAATGAAATAAATTCGGGCATAAATACGATTTTTAGTTACATATACATATGTAACTAAATTTCAGCGCCACCTGGCAGCAAATTTTTTCCGAAAGGATTCTTTTTCCTGTTATCAATATATATTTTGAATCTGAGGATAATCGGACCATAAACACGATTTTTAGTAATAACGCGACTCCAACGCCACCTGGCGGCTCTTTTTTTGCAATGGTATTGTTTTTCCTATTGTCAATACACATCTCGAATATGAGACGAATCGGACCATAAACACGATTTTCTGTAATAACTCGACTCTAACGCCACCTGGCGGCTCTTTTTTGCAATGGTATTTTTTCTCCTATTGTCAATACATAACTCAAATATGAGGCGAATCGGAAAATAAATACGTGTTTTACTATTAACTCGACTACAGCGCCACCTAGCGGTTGTTTTAATATTTATTCTTCTATTCGGAAGGTAGACAAATTCAAAAAACAAATATCATAAAAATTGGTCCAGCCGTTCTTGAGTTATAAATGGTGTAACTAACACGACTTTGTTTTATATATAAATACTAGCAGATCCGGCGAACTTCCTCACGCACAAAATTGATTTTTTGTATTAAAACATTTTGGTCCGAAATTTTCACCAACAGTTCACGTTCCTGATTTTCAGTGAAGCATTTATCTTCTAATATTACGGTTTGGTGTTTGTCAGAAAGCATATTTCCATTGCTATCTTAAATAACATAGAATTAGTGTATATGCACGCCCGCTTATAAAATTGCCCCAATTTTCTTTAAAATTATGAGATTGATTTCATATATCTCCATACAATGTGCGAGTGCTCTAACATGTACACTTCCAGAGATATTCAGTGTGAAAAACTCGGTTTGTATGGGAGGTGCCCCGCCCCTTTTTCCAATAGCCCCAATTTTTCTTCATGACTGCGAATTATTTTATATGTGTTGTACATACCAAGTTCCAGTACTCTACCATGAACACTTGCAGAGATATAAAGTGTGAAAATTTTGGTTTGTATGGGAGGTGCCACGCCCCCTTTTCAAATAACGGCACTTTTTCTCCATGAGTATGCGATTGTTTTCATATATCTCCATAATATGTTCGAGTACTCTACCGTGAACACTTCCAGAGATATGAAGTATGAAAAATTCGGTTTGTGTGGGAGGTGCCACGCCCCCTTTTCCAAAAGCCATATTTTGAAAAATTCGGTTTGTATGGGAGGTGCCACGCTGCCTTTTCCTATAATGACAATTTTTCTCCATGTGTATGCGATTGTTTTCATATATCTCTATACCATGTTCGAGTACTCTGCCATGAACACTTCCAGAGATATGGAGAATGAAAAATTCGGTTTGTGTGGGAGATGCCACGCCCCCTTTTCCTAAAGCCATATTTTTTCTCCATGAGTATGCGTTTTTTTTATATCTCCATACCAAGCTCCAGTACTCTACCATGAACACTTTCAGAGATATGCATGGGTTAGCCAAGGATTATAGACATGAGCCTCTTAACAGTAATAAGGGATTTGACTTTGTGAATTTTGAATTGTGTCGTTATTGCAGAGGACCATCGATTTGTAAATTCATATATTTAAATAATGAAATAAATTCGAGCATAAATACGATTTTAGTTACATATATGTACATATGTAACTCAATATCAGCACCACCTGGCGGCTATTTTTTTCGAAATTCAATTCATTTTCCTGTTATCAATACATATTTTGAATCAGGACATTCGGACCATAAACACGATTTTTAGTCATAACTCGACTTCAACGCCACCTGGCGGCTCTTTTTTTCTATGGTATTGTTTTTCCTATTGTCAATACATATATCTCAAATATGAGGCGAATCGGACCATAAATACGGGTTTTATAATAACTCGACTCCAGCGCCACCTAGCGCTTATTTTTATAGTTATTCTGCTATTCGGAAGGTAGACAAATTCAAAAAGCAAATATCATAAAAATCGGTCCAGCCGTTCTTGAGTTATAAGTGGTGTAACTAACACGACTTTGTTTTATATATATTATTATGTCTTGTATTATAAAATATTAATAATACGGAAACACGTATTAATTTCGATTTATTTTATAAAATGTTTCTTCTTTTGCAGGGAGAATCTAACGAAGCGCGAATAGCAGTGGCGAATCAACGTGCTCATCAGTTACTCAAATAATTACTTTCCTCATTATTATTTTTGTAAATACATATCATAAGTATCATATGTGTGCAGAATTAAAGTCGATTTAAAATTAAAAGGATTATATAGCAGAGGACTGTTTTTAAAGAGCATCATAAGTCCTTACCAAATGTAAATGTCTCAAATATGGTAAGAGATCTTTAACCATTACACGCTTCAACTAATTGTTTGTTATTTAGAAATATAGATAGTATCTTGTGTATTATTTAACCCTAATATTTTGGAATAAATTTAATTGTTAAAGTTTATTCTCATATATTTAATTTTATGTGTCCCGCCACAAATATCACCGCACACAGTGGTCTAGGTTTTCTTTTTAATACCCCCATTTAACTGTACATATTACAGTTTAACGCAACAGAATTGAAAAGAGCTAAAACAATTGGAATGCCATATAGCACATGTTGTGGGCCTGGTCGAGTAAAGAAAAGCTGATTTTTTCTACACTTCAGCAGCGATCGAACACGCATCATCGATGTGCAAAGTCAGAAGCGCTAGCCACTGAGCTATGCACACCCCGTAAGCTCTTGTTGCCAATTCATTCCCTGATGAGCAGATATGGTGATCTCCAAAACAGCTGCTATAACTTCTACCGCTTAGACTTTGTTGCTTTTTCAATTTTTCCTAATAAGAAAAATCGTGGTACAAAGCTCAACAAAAATATTAAAATAAAGATATTAACAAGCCACAATAAAATTGAAAAAAACTGCATACTTGAAATTCCAAATATACCCCAAAAATCTTAGCCAATGCACTATGGTTCAAAATTCAGTTTTTGAAGTATAATAGTAGTTGGACTTGAGCTAGCGATCTGAAATTTTTCAGGGGATATTTCTAGATAAAAAATGCATTAGCTTTGTACACATTCCGATATAACTTTTATTCTGCCCGATTCTGAATACAAATTCCTTAGTAAATTTTCACTTCTCCCTATCCTCTTATTCTAAACAAAAATTCCTTAGGAAATTGTTCTCTTCTCCCTTTCCTCTTATTCTGAACAATGTTCGAAAAAGGGGGAACAATTTAGAGAGGAAAGTAGGTATCACGAATGCAAGTAAAAGGGAGATTTTGCTGCCATTTTTAAAGGATTTTTCACCAACTATTTTGAAAGGAATGCTGAGGAAAAATGTAAGTTTATTAACTTTTTAATGGAAAAATACTAATTAATAATAAAAAAACAAAGAAAAAGGACTACAATCATTCTTATTTTAGGTCGAAAAGAAAAATAAGCAAAGCTGAGGAAGAACTCAATTCAGCGGGGCCACCATCAAAATGTATTGCCGAATAGAAGAAGGTACATCAATAAATAAATTTTACCTACATCAATTTAATAAAATTGCTTCAATCCAGCTGTAGGATGATCAAAAGAAGAACGTGCGGCACAAATCAGCCAGTAACTTTAGACGTAATTAGTAAGGGAAATGGAGGAGGTCCTAACATCGAATACAAGTTTTCTGCAACAGAAAGGGCAATATTCAAGTTGATAGGGATAAAGGAATCCGTGGAAGGTTTGGCGAAGACATTTGGGCTGACATCTTGGATTAATGTTGAACGAGTGGAAGAAAACCTTGATTTCTTGATGAATGGGAGTGGTGTAGTGAATGAAATTGTATTGGAGACTGAGTGTGTCGGGATGAATGAGGATCCAACGGATTGTGTGTTTCTGGTTGACGGAGAGAAGCCTACTTACCAGCCATATTCAAAAGCTGTTAAGTTTACTTTCTCAAAAAAAGTGTTGACAAAACATTCGCCTCCTGACATTCTCGTGGAAGAGGTTGCAATTCAGTGCGAGCTATGCGACACCCTTAAGGGTATAGTTTCTGAATACAAAGAACAGCAAGAAAACGTAAAAAAAATATAGAGCGATCGACAGTATGCAGGCGGTCCAGAAAAAGCATTTTAAAGAAATGGAAAAATTAAAGAGCGAAGAAGATCTTATAGTTTTTAAACAAGTGGCAATCCTAAGGCTAAGTCTTTTCATTTGACAGTGACGGTACAGAACTGACGCCTAAGCTTATTAGAATGAATATAGTAATTTTCTTAGCAGGTGGCAACCCTATTAAAATTCTAAATTAAAAAGGTCACTCTCCTGTCGATACAGAATATATAATTCAAATTAGCGAGGGAGAGAAGAGGAAAGAAATACGCGAAGAAACTAAACAAAAACATCCAAGTAAGTGTATTTTATTTACATTTTGTGTTTCAAATATTTTTGACTGAACACTTAAGAACACTTATAGTGGGTGTATGTACATCCTTACTTCCTTACCTAATAATATTATAAATCCGAAACTGCTGTTATTTAGCCCACCTTAAAATATAGGATACATTTAATCTCGATTGGGCAATAGGGCGTGGCACCTCCCATACAAACGGAATTTTTCATAGTGCATTTCTCAGGAAATATTTTTGGTTGATTACTGGAACTTGGTATGGGGTAAATATAAAATCATTCTCTACTCATGGATGAGGGCTGCCGCCTTTTAAAAAAATCTAATTCAACTTCAATTAAGGGAGTTATTTATTTGAAAATTATATTTAAAAAATGAGTGTCGAGAGGCTTAAAAAAGCTGAAGTTTAATATATTTTGAAAGGGCTTGCCATCTGTTTGAAAACCAAAATTTAAATTAATCATACGCAAGCCATCTGAAGAATTAAAATATGGTTGTCAAACAAAATATTGTTAAGAAACCTTTAGTTTTAAAGTTTTGAATAATATTGAAGTCTTTCACAAGGGTTGCCACCTTTTTAAGAATCAACTTAATTAGTTTAAATGAAATATTATAATACTACAGACCCAGCGAACTTTGTCCCGCACAAAATAATTTTTTTTTTAACTTTTTGGTCCACCATTTTCACCAACAAATCACGTTTACGATTTCCATTGGCACGCTCATCGGCTAAGATTATGGTTTGTTGGTCGCCTTAAATAACCCAACGAAAGCGCCATATCCGTGATGAAGTTCTCGAAATTCTCTAATTGTGTATTACTTCATAGAATGGTTAATCTCACAACGAAATAAATTTGAAGAACATTTCCTCTTCACTCCCTGGCGGCAACAATGATCCGGTTTTATAGTAAATCTGTCCAAGAAACTTTATCGTATAGTTGGTGGCAATTTCAAAACGGATGCGTATAATTGTTCTACAGAAATCCAATATACATTAGGGCTGTGCGATTATTCGATTACTCGAGCAAGTTGGTTAATCAATTATTCGGTTAATCAATTACTCGAGTAATCAAGATTTTGATTACTCAAAACAATGATTAATCGAGTTACTTGAAATATGATTACTCAAAAAAAATAATTTTGCTCGTTAAAAGAGTTTGCTTTGGAAAATGCTTATTTTCTTTTTTACATTCTGTATATGAAAAAAAAAATTTTCGTATTAATTTTTGAAAACAGAAACGTTGTTTTAAAAGTATCTAGGAACTTTAACTACTTTATACATATGTAAAGAGTTGAAATGTTGATTACTCATTTTACTCGAAATGATGATTAATCATAAAGCAAATTACTCANGAGTAACTGAACTTTTGAGTAATCATTATTTCCAATTAATCGAATAATTGAGTTATTTACTTTATGATTAATTAAAATTTTGAGTAATCTATTAATCGCACAGCCCTAATATACATAGACTTATTTCAGACGAAAGACCTTAAAAGTAAGTTTCACGAAAGCAATTTAAGTCAAAATAAATTGTTTTTTACTTGAATTTATTACAGTAAAGGCGCGCGATGGTTTTGGCAGTTGACTTATCGGTGGTGATTTGAGATTTAACCCTGCACAACTCAACCCTAGGGCCTCCGAATGAAGCTTTAAACCATAACAATACTGGCAAAAATCACATACATTGGGCCAATCGTAACACATAAAAATTCGATATACTCAATGGTGCAACAGGTTTATTTATTCTGACATCCTTTCTGGCACCTTTTCTAACTTGGCGATTACTCGTAATCACTCCAGTGCCACGTGGCAGCTCCTTTTTGCAATAGTATTGCCTTCACCGTTACCAACACATATTGTGACGAATACTGCGGCAACGCGAAGCGAACAACGAGAAACGGGCAGAATGTTCGAGGAATGAAGTAGAATGTTCCACAATCAGAAACGTCAAGTGGATGAACACTGCGAACAGCAAGAGAAAGAGAATGAGCGATGAACTTCAGAACATTCTAGAGTTGCCATGAGTGCGAGCGCAGGTATATAAAGGCGCCACCAGACACCGGAGTGAGTTAGTTATCTGCAGCAGTGAGTTAGTAGTCGACAAGCGACAAGTAAAGTGAGTTGCGAATAAGCAAGCTATAAGTTCAGTTGTGTAAACAAGTATTGTAAAGTGTTTGCTGTACAATAAAGTTAATTGTACTGCAGTAAGATATTTGGGAAATCCCTCAAGGTATTCGATATTTTGAATATTGGCCAAAGTGGATCATCAATAAGATTTTTAGTAATAACTTAACTCCAGTGCCAACGGGCGGGTGAATTTGTGAATCTACACCATCCAGAGAGTTACTCAAAAATACACAAAAAGCTTAGTTAAAAATCCGTCCGAGCATGAGTATAAGATTGATTTCAAATATCTCCACACCAAGTTCCAGTACTCTACCATGAACATTTCCAGAGATATTCGGAATGAAAAATTCGGTTTTTATGGGAGGTTCCACGCCCCCTCTATATATCAAACATTTTTTTAGCCTATAATAATCCTTGGGACGGCTGAATCAGGTGTCGGAAATTAAAAAAAAAATCGGTTCGGCCGTTCTCGAGGTTTGCGAACACAAAAACACGGCTTTCAGAATATATATTGGTATAGATTGGTATGAATCGAAATGGTTTTAAATATGTGTCACAATATGAGTGTTAGACGAAAGAGGTTTAAAAAGGTTGCCAACTGTTTAAAAGGTTAAACTACTACTATTCAATAATTTAAATGAATTATTACAATATCAATCAAAATGATATTAAAAGGGCTTTATTTCAAAACTACATGTAAAGGGTTTCCATCTGTTTAAAATCTCAATTGAGTTGAAAAAGTATGAAAAGTGAGAAGTTTAAGAAAGTTTTAGTTT